ATGTTAACAGAAACTGTGAAAAAAAAAGTGTCACTGTCCAATAGCGTGTCATAAATAAATGCTGTGTTTTTCGTAAGACTGCCAAAGATACAGCATAGTCATGAAAGCAGAGGAAAAGCATTGTAGGAGACAATCTCTATACATTACTAGTGATAAAACAGCTTATACGTGATTGCTTTCAGCACTAGAAATTACTTCTGAAGAGGTCTGCACTGACAGTGTGGGGTAGGGTTTCTTTTGTAACCACCTGGACCGCATTTGATCCCCCTATAGCAACAGACTGATTAAGTCATTGCCAGCACTTCTTTCATGGAAAAATAACCAGGTTCACAGTCACAGTCAGACTAAACAACAACCATTTTAACCAACAAAATGGATATATTGTAAGACTGCATTTCCCTCATGTAAGTGCCTTGCCACTGCAGACTAGGAAATAGATCTCTTTCTTTTCGTCCCAGTAACTGCAGACTCTTGGGAACTGAGTCTGCACACAGGGAATTTTTTGCTGGGGGAAGTTCAGCTAAAGAAGGCTCAAGAGAATGAGAGCAGAAGGTTCATTCACTCTTGAGTTGATGGAAGCTGACCTTACGCACAGAACAGTGTGCCACTTCTTCTTGAAAAGAGTATCAGTGACCTTGCTTGCCTCAGCTACAGTCACCAGCTTCTTTTGTTCATGATTTCTGCTGATGCTGTCAGTTGAAAAGCAGATTAAACAGTGTCCAGTTTATAAAAAGCAGTAAGTTGCAAATTGTGAGAAAATTCCTTCTGAAATTATATATCAATGCTAGTTCATTTTCAATTGTAGTTATAAAAAGTTTCCAGTGTGACAAACAACCAGTGCATTGTGTGCTAGGATAGTATTATGGAAATGTATAGGGAGCGTGGAGATGTGCTTAGGACTGTAATTTGTGAATAACAAGGTGTATGTGCTCTGAATAAGTAAATAAGAAAATTTCAGTATAGCTATAATATTGGTATTTGTTCTAAAACTACTGCAAAATACAGTAAGATTTCTATGCTGTGGCTCCTTTGTGGCATCATGTTTGCAATAGCATTTGCATGGTGCCCTTCAGACCGTCATCTTCCCTTTCACCCTCTCCTCCCTATCACACCCTGAGTAAAGCAGAAAATAGAGAAGATGACAGTATTATGTTAGAAACTGGTAGATGAGGTAAGGACAGCAATCACTGCAGAATCTCAGTCAGATGAGTTTCAGACTTGGTTATAGTCGTACTTGACTTTCAAATTCTCATATAGTCAGACTGCAAAGCCATTTCCATTCTACTCCCTGTTTTCACCCTTTTGTAGCTCTCACAACATGCATCCTTTGAGATGTATTTTACACTTTTTACGAGCTCCCAGAGGAGTGTGTGCCCATACATATTCATCTTAAAAGTTCTAACTGAAAACTCTTGCAGGTTTGTGAATTTAGTAACCATATAGCAGAATCCCAATGCTTTTACTGCAGAAGCCAAATTTTGTATCGTGGACTCACAAACTGAAGGGAAGGGACCTTAAAGCTCATCTAATTTGAACCCCCAGCCATGGGCAGGGACACCTTCCAGTAGACCAGGCTGCTCCAAGCCCTGTCCAACCTGACCTTGAGCACTACCAGGGATGGGGCAGCCACATCTTCTCTAGGCAACCAGTGCCAGTGCCTCACTACCCTCACAGGAAGAACTTCTTCCTAATACCTAACCTAAATCTACCCTCTTTCAGTTTAAAGCTATGACTCCTTGTCCTATCCCTACTTGTGTTAGAAGCTCCACAGCTGGATGCATGCTAGGTTGTGATGAGCTTCTCATCAAGCAATACTCCCAAGACCTTCTCCTCAGGGCTGCTCTCAATCCAGTCTGCCCAGCCTCTCGTTGTGCTTGGAATTGCCCCAACTGATTTGCAGGGGTATATATATATATATTTTACAGGGAGAATTATTACAAGATCATTGCATTTCTGTATGGTGTATGACTATAATTCATACTGCTTCTCACCCCACACCCCTGCTTTATCCTGCACTCTCCACAGTAATACCACTCTTCATAGATGCTGAGAAAATGACTGTCGTAACTGAAGTTATTGTCTCTTTAATGACCACAGGAATACCTACTGAATTTAATATATTGGCTTAGGAAATCTGTTTCGCCAGCCCTAAATGGCTGTCTGTCTTAAATATATCTGCTCAGAGTGATGTGCATTATATAAATAAAACTACACAGACAGCATGTTTGTCAATCAGCAAAAAAGGCTCTACACCCACTATCCTGGGCACATATACTTTGTAAGCATTCGTTTCCAACAGATAAATGTAATCAAGGTTTATATGCTCACAGAAGCCAACAGGATGGGATTTTTTCACTTGAAAGATCAGAAGAAAATTGTAACTAATGTTGTGGAAAATTACTTTGATATTGCTTTCTCAGTACAGCATCACAATTAGGTAGAAATGTGAAGCACAGGGAAAGAATAAATGAATAGTAACAAATCAACACAAACAGCTACTGTCAGGAGTACTTTGCTCAGTGAAAGTAATGTAAGCATTACTTAAAGTTTTATGGCTGTGGATTTTATACTGGTTTAAGTAGTACATCAAGGTCTCACCATCATGCTTGCTAGGACTAAAACAATCAAGAACAATTTCTGGAACAGACAGATAAAACTAAAGCACCAAAGTATTTTTATTAATCTTGTTTCATAAATTGTACTATCTTAAATTAAAAATGACTGAACACACTAACAATGAAAAATGTCCTTTTGGACAATGCAAAATTCCCCTACTCTGCTTTTCTGTGGAAAATAAATGTTTCTGACTTTTCTGTAGTCTTCCTGATGAGATTCCAGCATCTGGCAAATATGTTTTACTATATAGTGAATGCACAGGAGATACAAAAGCAAAGGCTAATCCAATAGAACTTTGCCATGCAGAATCTGTTGTCCTATGTAGCTTAATCACACATGCATTTGTTCAATTCTATTTAGGGAGCAATCAGACAAGCAAATTATAGCAATATCCGATCTCCATTAAAAACAGGCCCTTTTAAGGGGAAGGATCCTTCTCAGCATGCCAAAAATGTCACTTGTGATTGACAGATTTTCACAGGAGACTGTCTGTAAATGAAATATGTCTACCACTGTAGTTAATGAAATGAATATTTCTTTTCCTGTGTCCTTTAAACCACCTAATAGGTTGTAGTGATAACTGGCATGATTTTCAGAAGCAGTGGTTATGAGTAGTATCTGAGACCACTGGAAGTTCAAAGCACTTAACACACACAAAAATCAGCCAGACAGAAATAAGAGTAATTGTATTGAGCACCTTTTACTCAGGGGTGCAGTTCTGGTTCCTATTAACATAAATAGTAATTGAATGTGAGAATTGATCAATTGATTATACACCTTTGGCAATAATAGCGTTGTTGGGATGTTCGTGTTTTATCTATGCAGAACCCTGCTCACGGCAATCAAGTCCGTTAAAGTTTACCTGCTGGAGGCAGGAGCACTGTTCAAACTCACTCTTATTTAAATGTTCTTGGCCATCCGTTTCTGCAGTTATATCGCTCTCAAAAATCACTCAACAGTGTACTACAATCAGCAGTTGGTGTTCAAGAGGTACGACAGGTCAGGATGAGGGACCAACAATGAAAAAAAAGGAGAAAAAATGTACTGATTTGGAAACACCACTAGAAATTCCTTCCCTTTCAGAAGCAAAGAATTAACTTTCCAATGTAAAGTTACACATTCTTAGTTGCATTAGAGTACTACCTGTGTTTACTGTCCATATGTCTTTCCCCTCACCCCCTACCTACTGTCCAATTTCAGTCAAATATATGTAAGTATAGAAAAATCAATTGCAAAAGCACTGAAGTGACTGGTTAATTCTCTGCTTTGCACAATGATGATGATTCATTATTTCTACAGTTTCAGCTGAGTGGCTGCTTTAAAAATTGGTGTGCAGTTGGACTAAATAATAAACATATTAATGTACAGATTGTTTAGTGACATGGAAACAAGTACTTAATAAACCTGGACACAGAAATTAGCCTTAATGTAATTATGTAAGAGTTTTCCCTCTTAGGGTTCAGCTCTATTAAAAATATTAGTAATACTTTAAAATCTACACAGTTGTGTTCACTGTACAATGAAGGTATCTATTGAACAGGACTTTTATAAAGCACTTACGTAGTCAAAAGAGAATTTCAGTGTATATAAAAGCAAACAGTGACCAGACCTTGGCACACAGGGGCATTATTATGAGCTGGAGTAACTGTGCTGGCATTTGTCTAGGCTCCCAACCAGCCTTTGTTACAGCCTTAGCCAAAGAGATAGTGACTAAGTAAATCAAGAGATCTTGTGCTTTCTCATACTTCTTGTGTGCCTCTCCTTTAAACGGAAACCACAAGTTCAGTTCTTACATTGATGTAGTCTTTGTGGCTCTTCACAATTTAAAGTGAGTAGCACACGAAGATGGTGTGCATCTGGATTAAAGTTATGAAAATTTTAATGGAAGTTAAGCACATTAAAAGAATGAATCCCAAAATATTGTATGTTTCTTGCATGAGTCATTTATGCATCTCTTATTTTGCATCTCCCTGTCACATTGAATACCCTATACAGGCAAAGGTAGATTCCAAAACATGTCTGCAGGAACTGAACTTTTGGCAGTATTTCCCAATTTCATATTTCTAGTGGCATAGCTGGCAGCAGAAGTTCGTCTCAACTTCAGCAGAAAATTGACTCCGTCCAGCTGGACCCTGTGCACCTTGGCAAAGATCCCTGCATAATCAGTTAATTGGTTCTTGGGACAATTTTTTAAGCAAATTCCTTTTTTTTCCTTTTTTTTTTCTTTGTTTTTTTTAAAATTGATTTCAAAATACTCGTCATTAAAAAATTACATACCTTTGTTGAGGCAACCTCTGTGAAATATGTAAAACATGTTAAGGGTATAAGTACAAAATGTTGAACATGAAGGAGTGGGTGAGTCAGATAGAAAGACGAATGCTAACCTGGTGTCTGCTGATGAACTATTTCTTCTGGATCCTGCAGGTGAATGAAGACAACAAGTCCAGCTGCTCCAAACAGCAAGATGAAGGAGAACATACATGTCAGCCTCATAATTACTGTTCTCAGATCAATCCAGTTCTGACCCGGGAAAAGAACTGCACACAATCTCCAGGACGCTTTTCACTCATAGTCTCATCCTCTCAGCTGGAAGTTTGATGTAATACATCTACAAGAGGTAAAAAAGCAACCTAAAACTTAACATGCAGATCATTTATATTTTTCAATGCAGGTTAGTAGATTTAAGTCCTTTTTTAGACCAAATAACTGATTTCTCTAGAATTTCTTTGGTACAGTTAATTGCAATCATCCAGTCAGTTTCTGCCCCATCAGTTTGTCTTTAATTGTATGTCACTGTTTTTAACATCTTGAAAAGGCAATGTAGAATATCATTAAAGAGCACAGTTCAGGAGAAATGGTCATGCCATGGCTGCAATTTGCACAAAACCCCCTCTTAATAATCACACTACCATTTGCTTGCTTCAAGTGAAGCATGTGTCGCTTTCTATTTTTCACTGGTTAAACAATATGAAAGCATAAAGTGATCTAATGTGGGTGAAATGATCACAGTTGCTGCACTTGCATGTCAAACTTGAGGAGAAGGATGAACAGCGGGCAGCTTCCTGCTTCACCCTTGGTAAAAAGAGTCACACAGAACTGGTACCCTACAGGTCCCCATGATGCCTGTTGAAAAAGCTCTGCAGATGTACTGATTTCCAAGGGAAGTACTGGTCACAGTGCTTGGACCTCCTTTCCTGGCTTGCAGAACGCACAAGAAAACAGAAAGTGGGCAGCAAGTGGACCGTCTGTGCAGGTGATGGGCAGGGCTGCCTTTCCTCTCCTGGGAACAACCAGCACGTTTCTGGGCTTGGTTCAGTGAATTCTTACTATTCAATCTAACACTTTCCATTATGTGCAGCTCCAGTGAAACGGCAGCAGCCAGTCCCAAGTGGGTCAGTAGTAGGTCATTCTAAACCTCTTGCTGAGCACAGCCATAAGGCAAATACTTCCCTTTAAGCACATGAATAGTCCCACTGGAACCAATGTCCATTCTGGTAAGATACCAGGAAGTGAAAAAACGAAAGAAGGGAACCAGAGAAGAATACCATTAGTGTGCCACATGGCTTTATCAGTTAAAATAAATGTTTTTGTCACAGAGTTAATGCTGGTCCTGTGTTTTTTAGTAACATGAAGTAAAGTGCATTAGAGCACAGGCAGTGGAACTGGTTACTGAAAATGTAACTGGATTTCTTACCAGCAAATCTTTGAACACAAAAGTTCAGGCTGGAGATCAGCAGAAGTCACAGGGGTGGCAATCACTTCAATTTTCTCATCTTCCAATTGTAAATGCAACCTCATCTGAAGGAAGGATTCTGAAGGTGGTGTTTCTTTACAAAGGAGGTTTTAAGGACAGAGAGACTGTGTAACACTAGTTTTCAGGGAGGGTGCATTGTGGAAAAATGATAATTCAAAGTAGTTATACCAGAAAAAGTCTTTAAAGATTTGTTCTCAATGTGTCTGGAATATTTGGTGTCGGGGAGAACGTGTTTGCTTTTCATGGTTTCCATAGCAGGTGTTTAATTTTCTGCAGTGAACTGGCATTCCAAAATTCTAAAATGCAACAAAGAAGAATACGCATTGTGCAGTCCTGATGAAGTAATTTCTGTGCCTCTTATTGGTGAGGTTATCTAATGGCAGCTATGGTTATTTAATGTGTAAAGCAGCCTGACCTCCAGGCCAGGAGCACTGGTGGATGCTTGTATCTTAAATGAATGCAGAGCAGTACGTTCTCCCTATATATAGGTGAATTCAGCTTTATTTTCTGTTAAAATTATGGCAGACATTAACTGTGTGGGTTTGGGTTGGTGTTTGCTTTTTGTTGGTTTTTTTTTTCCTTCTCTTTTTTTTTTCTTTTTGCCTTAAATATCTCCCACCCTTTAAAAGTAAAGCTAAATGAAAATGTTACTAGTGTTTTCCAGCACTAACAAAGCCAAGTCCTTATTGGTCCTTGTGCAGGTCCATCTGTGCCTGTTGTGTGCATGTGTATATTTTGCACATATATTTAATATATATACTTAAAGATCAAATACTAACTCTAAAGCCTTAGGGGAGGCAGATTAGGGAAGGAGGATTAGCCTTCAAAGCAGCTGTGTTGCGGTTCAAACCACTGCTCTTATAAGCAAACAATTAGGGAACATGAACCCCTCTCTCTGTTTCAGTATGGAATTTGTGCTACTTAGTGGTATAGATAAATGGGTACTTTCAATCAAATCCACCTGTGGCAAGGCTGATACAACACCAAAATCACACAATCATTTTGTGAAACCATCCAGTTAGAGCTTTCTAAGAGCTGTATTTAATTACCTAATAGAAACTTCTCCCTTTTTGTAATGAATTTATGGTCTCTGCATGTCCATGGGAGGAGGATGCCACTACCCGAGTTTACTGGGAGTGTCTTGCCCAAGGTTGTACAATAAAGGCTGTGGTGCAGCAGAGAGTGGAAGGGTCTCTCAGCCCTGAGGCTGGCTTCGGTAGTGCTCCCTTCTCTGCTGGGAATGCCCTTGCAGCTGGTGGAACAGAGAGATTGCAAGAAACTCACCATCATAATTTGAGAAAGAGCAGCTTGAAAACATCCACTTGCAAAGAACAAGGGGTTTATATTCCTTAACGTGGAATTTTAAGGTCATTTTTTGAATGAATTATACCCTTGAGCAAATAAGGGTTTCTAAAACAACTGTTATTAGCTTAAGATGCTAAACTGTTTTCCCTGGTTTTGATTTGTTGAAGTGTTCTTGTTTGAAGTAGAGGCAGCATCAAGACAGAAGATCCCTAGCCAGCTTTTAATTAGTGTGAGAAATGCTACAGTAGCAGTTTTAAACAGTTAAAATGTTTGCATTATTCCACATCCTACAGACAGGTTCACATAACTGTTTAGGTTAGATACTACAGTGTCTTCAGGGCATCTGAAGACACAGAAGTAACAAAAGCTAGAAGAAAGCATGTATTGAAAGAATATATGCTTTATAACAGTAAAGAAAGACCGCTGCTTATGGCCTGTTACCATTACATGTCTTTGCAAGCAGTGAATATAGAGGGAGTCCAAGAAGGAAAAAGAAAAGAGAACCTCTTTACTCTCAACAAAATTATTACCTCTCAACAAAACACAAACTTCAGAGATCTTTAAATTAGGGTCTAGGCTTTTCCACTCTCTATTCTCCTGTAATTATTTTTTCAATCAGTTGACTTTAATTAACGTGTCCTATGAGAGGAAAGCTGGTGAATGGGAATGGTTGGTTTATACATGCTGAGCATGTGCTTCCTAAGCCCTCCCAGGCTGGTTGTTGAGTTGCAGGAGCAGAGAAACTCTGAAAGCAGTTAGCACTGGCTGATAAATGTGAACAAATATCCTCATTAAGGAAACATTTGAAAATATCATTTACACTCAAATCACATCATTTTGGAGATGGATGAGATAAAAAACCTACAAAAAAACCTTAGTGGAGCATCAGATAACAGTTTCTTCAGGCAATGCTTCCTCAGGCATGGGAGAGAGTGGGATGCTGTATGTGGGAGCTTTTGATTGATCCCCAGCATCTGGGAGGCAGGATTTTAACAACTTCTGAGCCTTCAACTTACACTTTGGATTTGCAGTCACACACTTTAACTGTGTTCCTCACAACCAGCAATAACATATCTTTATAATTCTTATTAGTATTATTGAGAGCACAAGAAGATAAGCTTGCGAGCACCTTCCAACCTAAGCTCCCATTTTTGGCTGTCCTGAACTTATTAAACAGATGGAGTAATGTTCACTAAAATGTGCAATAATGAATTGAAACATTTAACTTTTAATTTAATCTTCCTTTATTAATTTCTCTGGTGAATGAAACTCCTATGTATCAATATATATGTTTTTCTAAGCTTTCTTATTACCATGGTATGTGTATGCTCTGCCCTTGAAAGCAGCAGAAGTAAGTGTGTATGTGGATAATAATTAGCACTCAGATAGCACTTTCCAGTTCAAAGACATTCATTAATCACCACAGTACTCCTATGAATTGTGAGGTTAGGAAGTACTAGCATCAGGTAGGAGAACAGGTGTTGCATCATTAAAGCAAGCCCTTTAAGGAAAAACATGTATAGTTTTAGGAAAAATCATCCAAATATGTCTGTGGAAAATATTTTAGTATTATAGCAAAATTTCCAGGCACCAAACCTTTTACTTCCAGACACAGAAGCAGGGCTGATTCCCCCTGCTCCTAAGCAGTACTGAAGTGCACTGCAAACCAATACGATGGGAAGGATTTATTTAAATCTTTTGACAAGACTGACACTGGAAGCAGTGCTTTGCAAGCCTATGTTTTTGCAGTAACTGTCTGGAAGCCTAAGGGCTGAACAGTTTTTCTGTGAGCAATTTGATGTTATGATAATGGATCAGTCCAAGAAGGACAAAGAGACTGTTTTCTACCAACATTTCTGTTGTCTGATTCCTCATCTGAGGTGGGTCAGCAAGCTGTTTGATAGCACATGGCTGTTCATTCGTGAGTTCTGCAGATGTGACATTCTGTCTCTTGTCTGCTCACAAGCCTGTGTAAAGAATGGCATTGATAAGATAGTAATCTAAGGGCATGGTGTAATTCTTATGTGAGAACTCAGAGGATTGCCTTTGGTCCATCTAGAACTCAGTATTTCCCTTACAGGAGCTATGTTGATGCTTCAAAGTAAAGTAAAAAGCCTTGCAGAGCAAAGCTGTAGGATAACTTGCCCCCAAGAAAAGGTCTGTCAATCTTTAGTTGAGGTTACCTTCTTTTTACGTGGGTAGCATATCTGAGACTGGCATGATGTCAGAGTATGCAGCTTTCACAGCACTACCAACAATTGCTTTCTAAGAGCCTGGTGACTCATGGAGAGCAGTAGGGACAGGGCACACACGATAGCTATAGCCCCTTGTTTCTCTCTGTTGGCTGCTCATGGAGACCCGGCAGAACCCAAACTCCCTGTCCAACTGTGTGCTGCTGTGCTTTCACACCCCAGATAGTCAGTGACTAGCCCAGCTAAATTGGCCTGAAGATGAAAGGAGCTGCGCCAAGATGAAAACAGAAGGGGCTCTTTTCCTATGTAGGACCAGGGGAAGTGAAGGGCGGAGGTAGGCCAGAGACACTGTAAGAC